AGGAGAGGAGAGGAGAGGAGAGGAGAGGAGAGGAGAGGAGAGGAGAGGAGAGGAGAGGAGAGGAGAGGAAAAAAACATCCTGGATTCTATGTTCCTAATCAAAATTCTTGTTGGATTTCCAAAAAGGAGGAGAGGAAGTAGAGAGGAAACAAAGCTACACTGATAAAATAAGGAACTAATTGCCTGAACTTCTGAAATTGTAAGTCTCTTTCTTCTGTAAACCTAAAACTTTGTTTTCATGTATGGGTCTTTAAAACAGCAGCAGGGAAAGACCAGGTTGGATGGAGCTTTGAGTAAGCAACTTTGGTTTGGTGGTGGGTGAGTCTGCCCATGGCAGAGTGGTTGGAGCAAGATGATCTTTAATATCTCTTCAAACCCTAACCACTCCATGATTCTATGATAGTATGAGACTAGATAAAGAGAGAGATGCTCAAGAGAACAAAAAAATAGCCTCACAGGCTCACTGAATAGTCTGATTGGAAAGGATCCACAGTCTGACTCTAAAGTGAATGGCCCAGGCAGGGATCAAACCCACATTGGCATTATTAGCACCCTGCTTTAATCAACTGAGGGTTCATGAGAACATGGAAACACAAGTCACAGCATAATCTAAAAACATTTAAAACAATCACAGATTTAATTTCTTGATCTGGCACTCTACCTCCACTGCCAGTATTCCACATTTTTTGTCAAAAAAAAGTATGGGACTTTCTGATGCTTCACAGGAGCCTGCCATTTTAAGGTGGCTTAAATCTATCTGGGATCAACATGTCAGTAGTGAGGGTCCACCAGGTATGCCAGGAACTTCACCCTGTGTTGTTGAAAAGAGCTGATTTCTGGGGTTTGACGTGGAGTCACCACTGCTAGAAGTGACTTAGGACATGCCTGGCATAGCCTGTGTGCCTGTTGAGTGCTGGAGAACATGAACATGGTGAGAATACCACTACACAGTTATCAAGCAGACTGTGCAGCACATGATGTACAGAACCATGGAAAGTCGTCAGAGCACAGGAGAGACCAAACAGTGCCACAAGATCCTCATAGTGTCTGTTTCTGGTTCAGAAAGGACTTTTTCTACTCATTCCCTTCTAGCGTGCAGGAAGTGCAGTGCTTCTTAGAGCTTGCCAGCTTCTTCTGACGAATCAAAACAGGCTTTTCCAGTATCATGGCTTTTCTAGTGGTACCTACTTGGAAAGGACCTCACTTCCCATGGGCATGAGAAGCACATAAAGCTCCTGAGGAACAGAAAGAGTAATTCACCACATCCTACTTTACTGTCCTGCCAAAGTCTTGGCTGGAATTTCACTACGGAAGTAGATGTCTCTGAGCCATAGGGGCTATACTGTCCCACAATCAAGCCCAAAGCAGGAGCCATGATGTCTTTCTTTCTAGACAGATCACTCCCACAAATAGGAATTTTCCATCTGAGATAAACAGGAGCTGGCAATCAAGCTGCCTCTGAGGAATGGTAGCACACTCTTGAGGCAACAGAAGAACCAACAGTGGTGCTGGCCTACCACCAGAATACATCTGGCCCAAGTTCTGGGGTAGGCCAGTCCTAACCATCTCATTTTGAGGGTCACAGACAGACAGAGACTTTAAAGGAGCATGCTTTTCACATCCAGTTTCCAGAGTCAACTGATTTGTGTATTTATTGGCCAACTACTTCCCCTGGTGGAGCTCCAGCACTCCAGTGCTTGGCCACTGCAATTGTAGTCCCTTCAAAAACTATTTAAATTAATTAAGTCACCTGGTTTTGGACCCCATGGCCAATGTCCTCCACACAGTCACAATCCATATTGTTCTGGGATATTATTACTGCTGATCATCTAATGTCCCTTGGGATATATAGTACCTGGATAGGCTGTAAAGATTAGCCATATCTAACTAATAAATCCTAATATGATTGTGCAGTCCCCACTGAATGGTTCTGGAAGACCATAAAACCACAGAAAGGTTTGAGTTGGAAGGGACCTTTAAAGACCATGTTGTCTAACCTTCCTTCAATGGGCAGGGATATCTCTTGCCAGATCAGGTTTCTCAAGATGGAAAGCAAGAGATCTTGAAGCAGCCTGCAGTTCTCTGCCACACTTGTACACATTGACCACAGCTTCCTGCAGCAATCTGACCTAATCTGCAGCTGGTGGGGAGCCTGAAGGCCAGCCTCCATGCAGTCAGCCTCAGCCTCAGCAGGTGGTTCAACCTACCTGCCATGAAGCAGCAGGACTGGGGTGAAAAGTCAGGGGAGATCACATCACGGGACAGTGACCCCACCGACCAGGGCACAGTACCCAAGTGGGGCAGCCTGGAAATAGCAGCTGCTGACAGTCACAGTGATCACCAGGTAAATGTGAGATGGCAGGTCAGGTCCAAGTGGAATCCATGAAATTCAGTGAGCTGAAGCTGCAGGATATAGGACTAGGCACATGCCTGCCAGCAACACAGCTCAGGAAAGGGCTGGAGGCCAAGGCTGGAGCAGAAAGAGCTACCCCTGCAGCTATGCTGGCAAGTGTGCATCAGCGTGTCTTGTAAGGCTCCAGGTTAACTCCAGCACAACTGAGAGAGGAGAATGTAACACAGAACAAGAACAGGAATTGGCCCCAACCACCCTGAACCTTCTAAATGGAACTTAAAACTGAGGCCAAGCATGTCTCGAGGGTATTTGCCTGGCCACAGATAGTTTTCACCATCTCTTCTGGTCCTTCAGTCATCCATTGCCACACCCATGATGAAAAAGCTGCACAAAGATTTAGGAAAACTTTTAAGGGTGGGAATGGAGTAGAAATACAGGAGCAGGCTAGAAAGAACAGATTTAGGCTTGCCAGTTTTTCAGATTTAATAGAAACGTAGGAAACAGGGGCTCTGAAACCATCCACTCTCACTCCATAACAAACAAAAATTAGTGTTCCAACTTCTTGATTAAAGACAGTGACAGACTTTGATTTTTGTTTTACTTCAAATAAAAGCTTTATAAGTATATTGAGACATGAGTTTTGGTCCTAAGCAACAGAAAGAATGGTCTCTCTGTTGTGAAGTACTAATGTGGAAATGCCTGAAACTATCTTAAGTAGAAATTGCAGAATTCAGACTACAAATTATATTTCATACCACACTACAATTTGTATTTTATAGGTAACACTGAATTTCACTGGATCTATTTTCACACTTAAAATTCAATTTTGTAGACTATGTGTGTTATAACAAAGAGAACCATCAACTAATAAAGATGCGCCAAGAGAGGCAGAACAAAAAATATATTCATTTCTCCAGGCCAGTCTGGAAAAAAAATCACAATACTGTCATGTGTGCACTCACTGCATTAGGAAAACATAAAGTTACCACTAAATTAGGCAAAATAAAATGTCTTTATTGCCTGGTCCAGATTAAGACCTTTTCTAAGTGTGCTGTCATTTAGAATGAAATATTAAATATAGATAAAATCATTTAAGTATCTACAAACCAGAAATTCCTAAAGTAAAATTATGTCTTCAAGCATTGCAGGCAACAAACATACATAGATTTCAGCACTAACCTTTTTGGCTGAGGTAGTCTGATATCCTTGGTGTTATTCAAGTGTCATTTCCTCTTGCTCACACACCTGTATACTTTTGTGACACCCAATGTGACTACACAATGCCATTGGACAAGCACAGTAATGCTCAATCATTTAAAATCCATAACATTTGTATTCCTAACACTGCCGGGTTTTTGAAACATGCAGTTGGTTGGACTGTGCAATTCTCTCTATAGTAGCTAAGACAAGCTTTTTACTTACGAATTACTGGTGACCATTTTAAATACATAAAACTATGGCTGTGTGTGTCTTATCTGGACAAATCCAGCTTCTGTAGGTTGAATCAGCCATTCCACACAGTGTAAAATAAAACATTTTATTTAATTTTCCTAGTAAGCAGTAATTTTCCTAGTAAGTTACTGCTATTAAACTTTGCATTTTCCCAAGGCACAGTACACAAAAGAACTCCTGCAATGGCAGATCAGTCAGTTTACTACATGAAAATTTTAATTGAATGACACAGTGGGACATGTTTCGATTCTTCTGTGTGTCAAGTGACACAAGGCATTACAAGGAGCAAAACAAGAACATTCAGATATCCCTAGTTCTTCATTAGTCACAATGAATACTAGTCCCTTACAGAAATGAAAGACACAATATTGCTAAATATAACATAGGAATAGTATTTTATTCTGTTAACTTGCGTATGTATTGGTACAGCTGTTCTGAGAAAGCTTCTGAAGAAAATTTTTCCATAACTCTCACTCTCCCAGCTGCTCCCATTGTGTCCTTTAAGAGAGGATCTCTCACAATTTTTTCCATAGCATCAGCAAATTTCGTTGGTAGAGGCTCACACAAAAATCCTGTAACATTATGTGAGATTGATTCTAAAGGACCACCTGAATTAACTGCTATAACTGGACATCTCATATACATTGCCTCCAAAGGGACAATGCCAAAATGTTCGTTGCTTGGTGTATAAAGCACACACACTGAATTACTAAAAAGAGAGATTTTCTGTTCATCTGAGAATGATCTCAGAAAAGTCACATGGTCATTAACATCCAGTTTGGCTACGAGTCTCCTCAGCTCTTCATAGTGCTCCACATTTTCTAGAACTCGTTTATCATAACCACCTGCCATAACCAGGTGAACTTCATCCCACTCATGAGAATCAAGTCTCCCTCGAAGTTCGTGCAAAGCTTCGAGAGCCAATGCCAGATTCTTTTTTCTCTCATACCTATTAATGGAAAGGAACAAGAACTTTTTCTTTTTTGGTATCAGATCAGCTATGTCTGCAGGAACAATTTCTTCAAAGCTACTGATGTTGAGTGATGGGTAGAGGACATCTGGGTTTATGTGTGATAGGGACTTAAATGTGTCTTTGAACACGCTGGCAGTGAACTTGCTGTTCACAACAATACAGTCTGCCATGCCAGTCGTGTACTCTTCCAGCCAGTCGAGTGGCAGTCTGTAGAGGCGCTTCAGGAAAGATTCTCTCTTGGTCAGAAGCTGATCAGGAAAGTGACAGTAAAACAAAACCTTCTTACGGGTTCTGGCCAGTCTAAGTACAGGAATGCAGGCAGACACCTAGTGCAACCAGAGACAGGACAAGAGGAGAGGTTACTTGTTTGTGTCAGTGCCACCAGTGTGTACATGTGATTTCAAAGCCACGCTCTGAGACACTGCTTTGCAAGCCAAGTGCCTTCTCCTTCTTCCCCACACAAGCACATCAAGTGGTACTCCCTCATCCAGGACCTCCTGTGGCCCTAGCTCCTCAACAAGATCCCATCAAGCCCCAGGACTTCCCCAAGCACCTCCTTCTCCCACTACACAGGGTGCTGGGAGCAGAGCACAAGCAGCAGTGGCATCCTCTCCCTCCAGCTACCTCAGAATGTAAGAGGTAAATTGAAAAATGTGGAATAGGTCAAGATTATCTAAAGTCACGATGTTCTTTGATGTAAGATCTTCGTATACTTTCAAGCCTAATCACCAAGAAAGAAGACCTCATCAGTGGAACTGTCAGCAGCTAGCATCCCTTAGTCAACGACATCCTGGAACTAACAAGCTTTACAGATGTAGTAAATCAAGATGTTGATTTAGGTCTGTGTATTCATTCCTAACTTCACGAAATACTCAAGGTCCAAGTATCCTAGAGCTGAACTATGTTCATTATAACACTAAAAAACAGACCCCTGCTCAAGTGAAGACCATTTCCCTGAGCAAATGTAGAAGTTAGCTGAGAATATGTAACTTGTATGGAATCACAGAATCAATTAGGTTGGAAAAGAGATCACCAAGTCCCAGCGATGACCCAACACCACTGTGTCAACTAGACCATGGCATAAAGGGCCACAACCAGGCTTTCCTTAAATATATCCACGACCAGTGGCTCCATCACCTCCTTGGGCAGTCCGTTTCAATGTATAATCACCCTCTCTAAAGAAATTCTTTGTAATGTTCAAGCTAAGTCTCCCCTGGTGCAGCTTAAGACTATGTTCTTTCATCCTGTCACTAGCTGTTGGGGAGACCAACCCCCACCTGCTAGAACATCCTTTTAGGCAGGTGGTAAGGTCACCCTGAACCTCCTTTTCTCCCAGCTAAACATCCCAGCTCCCTCAGCCACTTGTCATAAGACCCGAGTTCCAGACCCTTCCCCACCTTCACTGTCCTTCTCTGGAAACTATTAACCATTAACTATTAACTATTTTGAGGGGCTGAATTTGAAATGTTACCAACTTTGAATTTCTGTGTATAAAAGATGGCACAGAAAGTCTAATGGGGTGTCCTTAATTTGTGCAACACCGTGGAGCAGCCAGGCATGCACAACTCTGAAATGAACAATCGATGTCTCTCTCTTGAGTGTGTCATTATTGGCTTGTTGCACACCTGATAATGAATCCAATTTTGTGGGGATTTGATACTCCAGGGTTCTGGAGCATGTCTCTTATGAGAAACCGCAGGAACTGGGCCAGTTTAAGCTAGAGAAGACTAGCAGGGGATCGTACTAACTCATATAAATATCTCAAAAGTGGATCTCGACTCAAGAGAATGCTGCCAGACTCTTTAGCGGTCCCCAGTGTCAGGATGAAGAGCAGTGGCTAGAAACTAAAACATGAGAACTTCTACATACACGTGAAGAACTTTTTTACACTGAGGGTGGCAGAACACTGAAACAGCCTGCCCAGGGAGGTTGTGTAGTCTCTGCAGACATTCCAAACGTGCTCCTGCACCACCTGCTGTAGGTAACGCTGCTTTTGCAGGGGGTTTGGAGTAGATGATCACCAGACGCCCCTTCCAACCCTACTAATTCTGTGATGAGCAGCCCACCAGCATCCCCGCCTCCAGTCGGGCCGGCGGCAGCGGACTCCCTTTCGCTTTCCCATGGCCATGCCCGCACCTGGTCGCACACGAAGGCGTCGAAGGTCTCCCCGCTGAGCAGCAGCACGTAGAGCGCCACGAAGGCCATGCGGAGGGCGGCGCACAGGGCGTGCCCGCGGCCGCACAGGCTGCGCGGCAGCCAGCCGCCCGCCCGCCGCACCGCCAGCCCGCGCGTCTCCGCGAAGCACCGCGCGGGCTCGTAGTGCGCCGTCCAGATCTGCACCCGGCAGCCCCGCGCCCGCAGCGCCAGCGCCGCGTCCACCACCAGCCGCTCCGCGCCGCCCAGGCCCAGGTCCGGGTGCAGGAACAGCACGGACGGGCCCGCTCCTCCCGCCTCCTCCGCCTCCTCCATGGCCGCGGGGCGGCATGCGCAGCCCGGCTGCCCCGCTGCGACACGTCAGCCTCGCTTCCCTTCCTGCCGGGCCTTCCCGCCCGCCCCGCCCGCCGGGCGGCCCCGCTGCTGCCCGGCGCGCCGCTCGCCGCCCGCCCGCGCCGGCCCGGCCGCCGCGCAAGGAGCGGGCGCGACCGAGGCGTCGCGGCGGGCAGCGGTCTCGGGCCGCGGCCGCCGGGCGAGGGGCACGGGGCTCAGGGGCTGCCGGCGCTCAGGCGTTATCCGGGGAAGCCGCGCGGCCCCGGGATGCGCGGCGCGGGGCGGAGCCTGAGGCGGGCAGGGACGTGGCCGGAGCGGCGGTAGCGGAGCGTGTGTGAGACCGCGCCGAGCCCGAGCCAGCGCCGCCGCCATGGTGAGAGGCTGCCCCAGGCGGGGGGCGGCTGAGGCGCCCCGTCCCCACCGGCAGTGCTCGCCGCCTCTCACCCCCTCCCGCTTCTCTCCTCTCTCCGCAGCCCGGGCCCAACCCCAGCGCCACCAGCGTCGGCTCCTCGGGCCGCTCCCCCAGCAAGGCTGTGGCTCCCCGCGCCGCCGGATCCACCGTCCGGCAGAGGTGGGTGCCGCCGCCGCTCCCCGGCGGGACAGCGCTTGCTCTGCTAGCCCGGCTGCGGGCTGGTGCCCTCCGCTGACGTGGCAGCACAGCTGAGGCCAGTCCGGAGAAGGGCAGCGCTGCTGGGGAAGGGTCTGCAGCACCAGTGCGGTGAGGAGGGGCTGAGGGAGCTGGGGGTGTTTAGCCTGCAGAAAAGGAGGCTCAGGGGTGACCTTGTCATTCTCTGCAACCACCTGAAAGGAGCGTGTAGCCGGGTGAGGGGCTGTGTCTTCTGCCTGGCAACTAGTGGCAGGATAGGAAAACACACGTCTTAAGCTGTGCCAGCTGACGTTTAGCTTGGATATCAGGAGGAAGGGGCAATTAGACATCGGAATGGGCTGCCCAGAGAGGCGTCACTGTACCTGTAGGTATTTAAGGAAAGAGTAGGTATGGCACTTAGTGCCATGGTCGTGTCGGGTCATAGGTTGGGCTTGGTGATCTTAGAGGTATTTTTCAACCTAACTGATTCTGTGAAGTGTATTATTTCTGCAGAGTCTCGTGACTGCTTAGTCCTAGAAGCTGGTGGAGTGCTAACGTGTTGTTTGGTCTTTGTTTTCTTCTGTCATCCCTTAAAGGAAAAATGCCAGCTGTGGAACAAGGAGTGCAGGCCGTGCCACGTCCACAGGGACTGGTGGGATGTGGCGGTTCTACACTGAGGACTCCCCAGGGCTCAAAGTGTAAGTTGGGTGAATGGGTGGTGGCAGGCTTCAGGGCTTTAGAGTTCCCCTGCCTACATAGTCTTGCTTTCTTGGAATTAATACTAATCTGTCAGTGTTGTGGTGTGCATGGGAAAACTTGCTGAGTTGAGGGTTGGGATGACATAGTTGATCTGTAACCCTGGAGAAGGCATTTTCAAAGATACAGTGGTTTTAAAAAGGTAGGTACAAGTTGTATTTTGTAATTGCTAAAGCTTACCCTAAGTGGTCTTTGAAGGTTGTGAGCAATCACTTTGAAGCTGAGAAAGGCCACTTGTCTCAACGAATAAAAGCATCTGTGTGCATGTTTTCATTCTCTTTCTGTACACCCCTTGAAAATACAATATAACTTGCATCTGGTGTTTTTATTAAAAAGCTGCAGATAAATTACTTTAGCTGAACTTGTCTAGCAAATAGCCTGCCAATACCTTGTGTATCTCCATTTTCATAAGGTGAATATTCCCAAGATTATGATTGAATACCTAGTACTGTCCCTTTAACTATAAAAAGAGCCTAAGTTTTTACTCTTTTGACCAGTCTGAGTCATTCAGATGACTTTCTAAACAAACTTTTCAGCCTAATACTTGTGTAGCAAAGATGGAAGGTGTATTTGAGGTGATGGAGTGTGTGGTAAGTTATACCCTGCATGGAAATTTGTGCTTATTGTAGAATTACAGTTCATGAGCTCTTGTTCTTACTAGGTTGAGAAGTCTTGAGATGCTCCAGGCTGACTATGTTGCTTGTTTTTTAAATTTCAAATGCATTAATATTTTCTTTTGGAGTTCTTCAAGAGGGCTGCTGGTAGCTGCACAGATAGAACATTTGGGGAAGGACTGGTGATAGGCTACTTAGTGGTAGTTCTGTGAGTAATCCTTCCTTTGAAGTTGTTTTACATGTTTTCATTTTCATATGTATTTGAAACTTTAGGAAACAAAATGTATCCAGCAAACCACCAAAGCAGTGCTGTTCTGCTTTGTTCACTGCATTCTGAGTCCAGAAAGGAGACAAGGCAGAGATAATGAGCAGCAATAGTGTTCTAGAGCAAATCTATGCAGATAAGCAGGGCAACTGTTTTATCTGCTGTTTGATCTACTAAAGTTCAACTTAAAAGATGAATTACAAAAGACAAGGAAAAAAAAAGAAACAGAAGGGCATTATGATTTTTTTTTAATAGACTTGTGATACAGGCTTTAATTTTGCTAAGTTTCCTTGTGAATCCTTTGATTTCACTTTTGGTGCTGAATGACACTCAGTTCTCATGTTCAGTGCCAGCAGTAAATAGATTTTCCCATCTATTTATGTTGAAATACAGTGCTTCCTGATTTTAAGGTTTTGGAGCACTGGGAGTGGTTTATTTGGAAGCTACTTTGGGTAACTGTATGGTCAGGTTTTAATGAAAGAATCAAACCTATAAAAGTGAGTTGGTTTTACAAAGAACCTCACACTAGATGTAAATTTTTCTGAGCTATGGCTTGGTAGCAACTTTCTTGCTTACAGCTTTCTTACAGCTTTCTAGGTACTTTTCTTCAATTTTGTTGTTTTTTTTTTCCTTAGAAGCAAATTATTATTATCTCTGCCCTGTTTAGTAGACTTTAAATTGAGAATGGGTTATCAAGGGTTTGTGATTGCCTCAGTGAAGTGCTCCAGGGAAGTTGTTTTTAGAAATAGTTGTGATCAATATTGCATAAAGCAATGGGAAAGCTTAGCCTTGTAGTGGTGGTGGGTGGGCTTTTTGATGTTTTTTGATATTGTTTAAAATGCAAGCTCTTAAAATTACTATAAAAATACATAGAGCCACCTGAGAACAGGTTAACTCTTACTAGCTACAATGAGGAGAATTTTACTCTAGATAAAAAAGTTTATATATTTTATATATAAAATATATTTTATATTGTGCAGAATTAGACTGATGTTTTGGGTATTTTGTATCTGTATTCGCTATCCAAAATAGTAAATATGCTGAATAGGCAAGTTGGTTCCCATCAGGAAAGATGCTTTATTTGCATTGCAAGATGCATCAAGATGTGTATGCCTTTAAAAACAGCTATTAGTGAAAGGGAGTTGTGGGGGATTTGGCTGACAGGGGATATGATATTTTTCTCTTTAAAGCTTGGAGATTACATGCTTTGAAAAGAAAATGAAACACAAACCTTTTTGTCTTTTTGGGTCACTTGGTGCCTGTCGTTCCTGTATCTTGTCTTGGCTTTCCTGTTTAAAGAGCTATAGGCAGCTATCCTGTGGGTAGAAAGTCAAATTGAGCTTGTGGTACAATATGCAGGCTTATGAAAGACATTCTGAGAATGCACAGTACCGAATTTTTAGAGGTGTCTGAATCCATTTATTTATTTGTGGTGGCCTGAGAAGATGCAAGTGTGTGGAGGAGAATTGCAGGGTTTCAACAGGTTTTCTTTGGAACTAGAGGAAATAAGAATATGTGTCAGTGTTGGAGAGTTGATTTTTCTCTAGGAGTTCAGTGTCATCTTCATGTTAAAAAAACACTGAACACACAATCAGTCCCCACTGTTCATTTCCATGTAGTTCTGTTCTGATTAGTGGGGCTCTTTGTTCCTGTGTGCCTTTGTCAGAGCAGCTTACCTGTTCCTACTGCTGAAGGCTCAAATGAATTAAATAGTAATTCAGATACAATGTAAGGACTATAAATTATGATTTATATTATGTATACTATAAACTTACATGTATACATATATATATATAAATGATAAAATATATTTATTTATAGGTATAAAATGCTAGGGTTTGAAAACTACAATCTGTTACTTAGTGAAAGATGCCCCTTGAAGGGGTTGCTTGTGTAGTCACAAAGTATGTGGACTTTGTTTATTTTGTTATTGGTTTATTTGCTAAATGCTTTATGTCTGTGTTCAGGATTCTCCATACCCAAATAAGTCTAAGTTTGATAGATAATAACCAAGGTTTAAAACTCAGTGTAAGATTACAGTTGTGATCATTTCAAGTATGTGGATCACAGTCTCATAGAAAAATATGTCAATAAACTCTTCGAATCCCTTTTCAGTCTCCTTTTTTTTTTTTTTTTTTTTTTTTTTTTTTTTTTTTTTTTTTTTTTTTTTTTTTTTTTTTTTTTTTTTTTTTTTTTTTCAGGTAGCATTTACATGCTTATAAATGCTACCCTGGAGGGTAACACAGGCTGGATAACAGATTTCCCAATAGCATGTTGAAAATCAAAAATGAGATTGTATGAAGTGAGTGGTATGAAGGAGTGTTGAGTGTGTGTATTCATGTAACTGTTGCATCTCAGAACAGCATGAAACAGCTAATTAAAGCTAGCAACATACTCCCTAAGATTAATTTGGTGTTTAAAAACAGTACTATGCAATTTCCAAACAATATATGAAAGTAAAAATAGTTTATTCATTTTAGGTAAAGATTTAATAATGTAGTTTTGCCACTTTGTGTATGTTTTTCAAGAAAGCAGAAGTCCTGTCTCTCACCTACTGCTGCCATTGTTTCCAAATGAAACAAAACCTCTAAAATAAAACAGATAATGAGAATTTTTTGCCAAAATTTTAGTAGCCGCTAGAGGACTCTGTTGTTTTTTTTATATCGGGCTGCATCTTTGCACAGTTGGCTATCTGAGTTGTAAACACAGGGGATACTTTTCCAGAGACTGTGGAAACAGTGATGAATACTAATGAACCATTAATGGCTTTTTTAACAAGGGGGGGGGGGGTTTGTTGTGCTTTTTTTATGTTATGTTTAGGGTTTTATA